ACGAGCCGCGAAGCGGTGAACTTTGAAATATCACTCACGGTTTTTATCCCAAATACCCCCGAAGCCATGCTATTTCCTACAAAAATAAAGACTGCTCTATGATATTATAAGATATTTCTTTCCCCTCTCTTGAAAATTGGAATCACTCTGTCTATTTTCCATTTATTTGGAAAACGACTGGAGACAATAGTGGTAGTAAAAATGTGTGTCAGTGACAACGAAAAAGCTGGTGCTTCTGTTATTTTGACAAAAAAAAATTAACTGTTTTTAGTAAATTTTAGTACTGTGCGACGTGTTATATGTACAAGGCTAAAAAGACTGCTAAAAATTTTCCTTAAAAGTTTCTTTAGCTTGCCAGCTACCCCATTATAACTAGCTTAAAAATGGTATTGCAGATTGAATTGTTCTCTTAAGGAATATAGCAAAAGATGAAAGTGTTAATCTGACCTCAGGATCTGATTTTTCTGGATTAGTCAGCTCTGGTGTGTGTTTGCCAATGTGCTGAGTGGATAACATGCTACCTTACTCTAAGCAGTTCGAAAAAAATTACTACCTTTATAGATCTGGACACCTTAGAGCAAAGGTATGATGGAGACGGCAAGTCGCAAACACAGAGGAATAAAGTACTACTCACGCGCATTTTTGGAGGCCAGCTTCCCAGGCAGTGTATAACTGGTCGTATGTAGCCAGGGTTGCCCCGAGCAGTGCACAAAGACGTTGGGCGTCATAAAAATTCAAGGTTTTCGTGCCCACTTTAGCATGAAAAACTCGCTTCACGGCCTCGGACTGCTTTATGGCATTCATATCTACGGAAAAAGATACAGTAACATTCAATTTTTTTGGAATTCAAAATTGTGCCATGAGCCCTCCGTTAATTTAAGCACCGCAAACCAATTTCCGACTCTCTTCAGAATTGATAAAAAACGTCTTTTTACACTAATCTGGTTCAGGAGCCCATTATCTTGCTTGGTTCTTCTAATCTTAAAACGTACAAAGAAAACTTCCTTAATGATCAAAGTCATACTTACCAACATTACACTTATCGTCAATGAATGGCAACACAGTAACTTCAGGAAGGCATTGACATGTAATTTTACCCAACTCCTGGCCTTGAATGCAATTTCCTCCATGATTACAAGCTATAAGGTCACATGTTGGCAGAGGGCTGTAAAGCATCTACAGAAAAGAAATAATGACGTTTCCGTTTACCTCTTCGAGAATAGGCCGTTCAAGATCCCAAAATTGTGCAAAAAAAGATTTTCAGGTCAAATGTGAATTTTCCTAAAAAATTGTTGTCATGTAACAGCTGTAAGTTTAATCCATTTAAGATTTAAAAAAAAAAATCACTCGCGCGTGGTGTCCGCATTAACCTCTACACTTAGCTGGAATAAGTAGTATTTTGACTCGCAGATGAAACATTTATACATCAGCCGAGCGTGAGTTCTTTGCAAACTTTTTCGAGTTTTTATCGAAAGGAAAAACGAAATTTGAAGAAAACAACTTCATCCAGTTACACCCTCTTTTTAATAAAATGAAAACAACTTAACTTACCACGGTAGTTATGCCATAGTAATCAAAACTTATCCGTTCTTGCATTCTTTCAGGTTCCATGTACCTTTCGGAGTTGCTTAACTCACACACATAGTCGCCGTCGTCATCAGTGACTCTACCGATATTAAAGGACAAACAGGCAGGGACGCCTTTCTTCATGCAAACGAACGAACAGTCAAAGAAGTCCCTCACTTTTCTAACCTCTGTTACATTTCCAATCAGGGACTTGCCTTCCAGTTTGTAATATATTCTTTCATGCATCAAATGTCGCTTGGCACCATGGACGGACGATTTCCAGATGAGCTCGGTCATAAAAATGATCGACTTGATGAAAAAATATTTTGACATTGTCGTTGCCACGGGAAGAAAAATGTAAGCGATGTGTGTATAATTTTAGAAAATGCTCTCAGTTATCACGAAGGTCGGCACAATTTGACATCCTTCTCGCATCTTTGTCACAGGATCTTTAACTTTAACTTCCTATAATGGAGGGTTAGAAATTTATATATCTTGATTCCGTATTTTGCGGTCGCCAAAAAATTAGTCTTCAAACAACTCAAGATGCCTACGATTGTGTTTTTCTTTCTTTGGTTTTTTCTTGTTTTGTTTTTTTTTTAATCATCTTTTGTTAAGGTCAGCGTGAAGCTTTCTTTGTCGCTTTCGTTTTGAATTAGCAACTCTCTTAGAAACTTAAACCCACACATAACCAGCGAAAAACAATTAACACTTTAGCTTTTTCGGTTCTCCATGCATTGTTTAAACTACATCCGCTGTTTTTTTTATTAATCGTGTGAATGAACAGCTGCTGTTATCGATTAATACTCTGCCATACAGTAGTTTATTAAACATTAATAATTGTCTTTAGCGTCGTCTTTTTCAGTTTCATTACAGAGGGTCTCGATGGAGTGATAGCTTTCATTGCTAACGGTTAACCCCTTTCGGTTACGACAAAAAAAATATACGGTTAACTTTTTCACTACTAACGGTTATGATTTGTCAGTTTCGACGCCTGATGGCTAATTTTTTCCCTTTTACGGCTAATTACTGACACCATTGAAACCTCATAAAAAAATCAGACTCATTTAAGACAGATGAAACTATAGCAACCTCAAGTCTTTATGCGCACGAGATTATGATTAGAGATTCTTTAAAAGAATAATACAGATATTTTGAGTTGAGGCTACTTTAAAACGTAAATAAAGTCGATTGAATACGCAAGCTGTACCTCTGGTATTTTCTGAGCCTCCTAAGATCCTACAAGCTAGAGGTACGAAGAAAGCGATTCAAAGGAGTATAAGACTAAAGAAATAAACAAGTAGGAACGTATTCTGGAAAAAAAAAATGACTCAAAGGAGTGTAAAACTAATTTGGTGTGCAGAAAAAGTAAAATGTGAAGCAAACCGTAGCAACAATTGTGCAAAGTTGACTAAATATGCAAGCTGTACCTCTAGCCGATAGTATTTTTTAAGCCTCCCGAGATCCTCCGGCTAGAGGTACAAAACAATAGAAATCTCATCTAGGGGATCTTTCTAACTAGTAGCACTATAACAAAGGCATTATAGCGGCGATATTATTCATAGATTTTGTTTACCTTTGCAAGCGTAGGTCTTAAGCTAAGTGTTAAGCGGCTACAGTGTTAAGCTAAAACTATGCTATAAAACAAGAAACTTTAGATCGACGAGGGTGAAGGAAACAGCCAGACAAAACTGAGAGAAATTACCTTGATTTAAACTTAACAATGTATTCTTTACACGTAAACCATGTAATAAATGTTCACGTCGGGTATAATCTCGTCGCTTGATTGTTGGTAAAACTGAAATAGTCCGCCGATATAGTAGCCGACAATTTCCGAAAAAATCGTCACTACTGCTCCTCAGGCGTACCTCTTGTCGGTAGGATTTAGGCACAACCTTGCCTAAAGTCAATGTTATTTTGCAAAACTCCGTTCGCCAACCAAAGAAGTTCCTGATCGGTTCGGTTAAGCTCCAGCTGTCAACCACAAGCCAAATTTATCATTTGAGCGTCATTCTGACATTTCGCTCTCGCGAGAGAAAGAGAAAGATGGCAAGTTATTAGTTTCGATTCCGCTCTTTAGGAGGCACTTAAGTGTCTTTCGGAAATTGATATGTCTCGCGCATTAAAATCGGAACAAAAAGGAAAAATTTCTACACTGGTTTCTGGAAATTTTGGAAAACCCTGATATTTTAGGTGTTGGTTCTTATGAAAGATATTAGGACGGGAAACCTTCGAGCGGAGTTGTCGTTTGTCTGCTTCAACTTATTCTTTATGGTCAAATGGATTAAACATCATCGATCGGATTAACGGTAGCTAACGCACACGAACGTTTTAGTGAAGCTATTTTTTTCCTAGATGCAAAAACAGCCACACCGTTTCACCAGAGTGTGCAGGTTTGCATCAAACAAATTGAGGCGGGTAAACCTTTAAGTGCAGTTGTTTGCTACCTCAAAGTATCTTCTACGATCAAATGGAAGAAAAAGGAAGAATTATCAAATAGATTAACGGCGGCTATACTCAAGGATTTTCCTTTGGAAAATATAGAGTGCAACAAATATCAGCTCACATTTGTGATCGCGGAGGAGGTTTTGTCGCAGCCATTTCCTTTCCGGCTAAAAAAAACAACGGCCTTATCGTTTCACTCATCGCCTCTACATGTATTTGTTTTTGTCGGAAGACAGGGCCTCCGGTTTCTAGTTGAAACTATAGATAACTCAAGTCCTTTTTGCGCACGAGATGATGGTTAGAGTTTCTGTTAAAGAATATTAAAGATATTTTGAGTTGAGGCTACTTGAAAAACGTAAATAAACTACTAATAGTATCTGAAGTATTTATTTAGTTAAGAAGGAATTAGCAATTTGTCCATGCATTGCATTAAGTAACTATTTGAATTTGTAGTCCTAAGTTATTTGGTTTAAGCTATCGCAATTAGTTTTTTTTTTTTTAAGTATGACTGTCTTTTCTAAGAGGACGTGCTTTTTTTACCCTCTAATTAGGCCTTTTTCGTTACGTTATAAAGGTTTCCATTATGGCAAGATACTCTGTGTTTTATTTGTCTATCTAATACTTGAAACCCTGGAATATTCAACTGCATCTGGACTAGTGATATATCAATTTTGTAAAGCGGAATCTGCAAATGAAAGGAGCCGCCATAAAAAGAAAAAACGGAAGCGCAATTTTCTTTTAGTTCGTGGCCTAATTTTGACCCACCTGCTCTTCTATATAATCTTCAAATTGCTTTTGATGCAAGAATATGTTGCAAAATCAAGTTCAGTGTATTGAACATCAAGCTAAAATTGTTCCATTAGTTTCACATTTGCTCTGTTTTACCACCCAAATAGGAAATTGAAAAAAAAAAAAGGCGAAAAAAATTTCATACGATGTAAGATGTCATATGTCGGTCTTAGGTCGTTCTTCACGCCCCTCATCTTCCTCTATTTATAACACCAAGCGTTAGACGTTTTGGACTTATTATGTTGCGGAGTAGACGATCCAATAATACCGGTAAGACTTCCACAATTAGGTTGGATCGTTTGCATTGGGTAGCGAAGGGTGGCATCAGCTAGCCAACCGTACCTGAAGAAGAAACAAGATACTAAACTCACCAACTCGCTCATGTACTCAACGCTAGCTGTCGTAATTACGCACTCGGCCCGGAGTCGCCCAGTTCCGAAACCACATTAAACTAGTAATTGGGTATAAAAGATAGCGACGCTTGTATTGAACTGCAACTGAGCGAACACAGAGATAACACTGCATTTTTGACTAGGTTGGTCTTTTCTCAAGTTTTGCAGATAATTAGCTGAGGTTTCAAAAATAATAACACTCCTCTTACGCCTTCTAATTAGAAAGGGATTATTAAACCTCTACTGATTGTTAACTCAACTGTCTCGTGAATAAAAATCGCACGTGCTTTATAAAGTAATCTATATTCAAGAGTTCTCTCTCGTCCTTCTAGATTTCTTTTATATTTCAAGTGACGTGATTAGTTCCCTATCACTTGCTAGTTAACATTTTTCTCCACTAAGAGGGAGATATTGGGTTTTCTTAAAAGCTCACTAGGTTGATCAACCGCCCCTTATGTAAGGAAGTTACAGAGAATGTTCCAACTTCCCAATTAAATTTTACTTTATAAATGGGGTATAGCCAAATATAAGCCTGTAAATCTACCTCAGCATCTGTAACCTATCCAATCTGCAAAATGTCTTTCCTTTATGGCTCAAGAAACATACAGTGAAAGAATGACAGAGAAAGTATGTAGCAATAATGCAAAAAAAAAAAAATGAATAAAAAAAAAAAATTATAATAATAATAATAAAAACAACAATGGAAGAATGAAATAGACCGTACCTGCATCTTTGAAGGCCAGCTTCCCAAGCAGTGTATAACTGATCGTATGTAGCTAAGGTTGCCCCAAGCAGTGCACAAAGACGTTGGGCGTCATTAAAGGTCAAGGAATATATGCCCACTTGAGCTTGAAAAACTCCCTTCACGGCCCCCAGCTGCGTCATCGCATTCATATCTAAGGAAAGAGATACAGTAACATCAATATTTGTTGGGATTCAAAATTGTGCCATGAACCCTCTGCTGATTTTAGCACCGCAAACCAATTTTCGATTCTCTCCAGAATTAATCGAAAACGTCTTTTCTTACTAATCGAAAACGTCTGTACTTACTAATCTGGTGCTTCTAGTCTCAAACCGTAATGAAAAAATATTCCTTAATGATCAAAATCATGCTTACCAACATTACACTTATCGTCAATGAATGGCAACACAGTAACTTCAGGAAGGCACTGACACGTAATTTTACCCAACCGCTGACCTTGAGTGCACTTTCCTCCATGATTACAAGTAATACTGTCACATGTTGGCAGAAGGCTGTAAAGCATCTGCAGTGAAGAATCAAAAACATTTCCGTTTACTTCTTCGAGAAAAGGTCGTATAAGATTACAAAATTGTGTAAGAAAAAATTTTGAAGTCAAATAAATATATATGTGTATTTTCCTAAAAAAATTTAGACATGTGACAGCTGTAAGTTTAACTCATTTAAGCTTTTTTAATTTCATGTTTTCACCTCGTTTTTTTTTTTTTAGCAAAAATAGTAAAAGAAATTCACTCGCGCGTAGCTTGAATAAGGAATAATTTAACTTTGAGTTGAAATACTTATACAATAGACCGCACTTTCTATCGGTAGGGTTTACCAGCGTAATTACCCACGCGCGATGATGGGAAAGCACGAAAAAGGTTGTAAGCTACGAGCCGTGCGCGAATTATTTACCGACTCTTTCGAGTTTTTCTCGAAGAGAAAAACGAAATTTGAAGAAAGCAAATTTATCCAGTTTCACTTCTTTTTATTAAAATGAAAAGAACGTAACTCACCTCAGTAGTTGTGCCATAGTAATCAAAACTAATGCGGTCTTGCATTCTTTCAGGGTCCATGTACCTTTCTGAGTTGCTCATCTCACACACATAGTAACCGTTGTCATCAGCGGATCTACCAATGTTAAAAGATAGGCAGGCAGGGATGCCCTTCCCCATGCAAACGAACGAACAATCAAAGAAGTCCCTTACTTTTCTAATCTCCGTTACATTTCCTATCAGGGACTTGCCTTCCAGTTTGTAATATATTCTTTCATGCATCAAATGTCGCCTGTCACCGTGGACGGACGATATCCGAATGAGCCCGATCATAAAGATGATATATCTCAACATTATGGTTGCAAAGGGAAGAAGAATGTAGGCGATATGTGTATAACTTTAGGAAATGTCCTTTTTAACCTCCTGTAATGGAGAGTTCAAAAATTATATATTTTGACTCCGTATTTTGCGGTCGGTAACAAATTAGCCTTCAAACGACTCAGGATGCCTACGATTTTTTTTTCTTTTTTTCTTCGAGGTTAGTGTGAAGCTTTCTTTTCAATCAGCAACTGTCACAGAATCCTACATGAACTCACAGATAACCGCCGAAAGATAGTTAACACTTTAGCTTTTTCGGTTCTCCACGCGTCGTTTAATCTACATTTGCCGATGTTTGTATTAATCGTATAAATTAACAACTGCTGTAACCGAGTAATAATCTGCTCTACAGTGGTTTTCTTAACGTTGGCAACTGTCTTAAACGTCTTCTTTTTCAGTTTCATCAGAGGGTCTCCGAGGAGAGAGAGCCTTTATTGCTAAGGGTTAATCCCTTTCCGTTAGGATAAAAAAAAAATTGATGGCCAATTTTTTTTCCCTTTTACGGCTAATTGTTACCACCATTGAAACCTCATAAAAATCGGTCTAATTTAAGACACATGAAACTATAGCAAACTCAAGAGCTTTTGCGCACGAGATGATAATTAGAGTTTCTTTAGAAAAATAATAAAGAGATTTTGAATTGAGCTTACTCGAAAACGCAAATAAACCACCAAAAGCATCACGAAGTATTTATTTAGTAAAGACGGAAATACATCCCATTAAGTCACTATTTGAATTTGCAATCCTTAGTTTTTTGGTTTTTAGCCACCGCAATGAGTTTACTAACGATGAGTGTCTTTTCTAAGAGCACATGCTTCACCATTTGACCTTTCTTTTGAATTAGTATTAGGCATCCAATGAGCCTTTTTCGTTACGGTATAAAGGTTCGTTTTTATCATAGCAAGATACTCTGTACTTTAATTGTCTACCTAGTTTTTCAAACCCTCGAAATAAAGAAACTGAACGTAGCCAGAAATTTACATAGACACTAGCAATGAATCGCGTGAAAAATCAATTTTGCAAAGCGGAATCTGGCAATGAAAGGAGCCGCCAGAAAAAGGCTGAGAGTGGAAAGCGCTCTTTTCTTTTAATTCGTGGCTTATTTTTAACCCCCTGCTCTGCTGTAATTATTAATATACCATAGAATAGCTTTTGATGCATGGATATGATACACAAGATGAGAGCCTCTATGCCCACTTAGCTTAAAAAGATTAGAAAATTAACTTCAGTGTAATGAGTACTTATTCTTATTGAAAATCAAGCTAAAATTGTCCCATTTTTCACATTTGCTCTTTTTTTCCACCCAAAAAAGAAACTGAAAAAAAAAACCAAAAAGCAAAGAAAGATGACATGTTTTCTTTTTTTTTTTGAAAAATAAAAGAAAAGAACAGAAGACGAAAGTGGAAGTGAACGATGTGAACAGTTGTAATAATGTGAAGGGCAGTATAATTAAGTTTCTTACTGAAAAGAAACATTTGGTATCAAATCGTCCTTCTCGTTTCTTATCTTTCTCTATTTATAACACCAAGTATTATATCTGTGCCATTTAGGTTGAGGATGGGAACTTCCACAAATGCCAATATAATTTTTACAACCAAGTAACCTTCTTTGCATTGGATAGCGAGCAGTGGCATCAGCTAGCCAACCGTACCTGAAGAAGAAACGAGTGACTAAAAATGAATGGATATAAACTAGCACGAGAAAGATGCAGCGACTAACAACTGGAAAATAGATTGGGATGATTGAGTAGATAGATAAGTAAATGGATAAATTTGAAAAAAAGTAGAAAAATGAATAAATAAAATGATCTGTTGATCGATTTGATGTATTTTATAGGTCCTAAAATTTACAGGAAATAAGACCGAATTATACTTGTACTGAATATGAGCGTCGCCAATAACGTTTCGCTGTGAAAAAAAATTATTGTTCATCCATCCAGTTAGCAATTAGAACGACATGATTTCACCAAAAGATGACCGACAAATGAATGCACGAAAGGGTATGTCATCTGACAGCCGTGGCACCAAAACAACTGCGTACTTTGACAAATTGGACGAGTCAAGCGCCGCTTCTGTTTCCTTAGTAGAATGGCCTATTATCTTCGAACAAGAAATCAGAATAAAATTTTAAAAATTCAAATGAGATGTTAGATGGACGAGGTGAGGAAAATAGAAGGTATTCCAGCTGTTAATTAAGGTAAATGAATACATAGACCAGCTTCGAACCAAACTTGAGGGAAAAAGTACATTTCACAAGTATAATTAAGAAACGACTTATTCTTTGAGAAAACTTGAAACATTCTTCAGTTCAAACATAAACAGCCAAGAAGCAAAGAAACAGAATGAATCATAAATGAAAACAATGATAGAAGAATAAAGTAGTACGTACCTGCATTTTTGAAGGCCAGCTTCCCAAGCAGTGTACAACTGATCGTATGTAGCTAAGGATTCCCCGAGCAATGCACAAAGACGTTGGGCGTCATGAAAGGACAAGGTATATCTGCCCACACTGGCATGAAATACTCCTTCCACGTATCCATATTGCTCCGTGGCATTTGTATCTATAAAAAAATAAGAATAAAGACCATTACATTTGACTTATTTTATAAAATAATATTATTGACTATTTGGCGATAAAAAAAATTAATGTAAATGAACTCGGCGGAAGAATTTTTTTTTTTGCTTTTTTTCTTTCTTTCATTTTCTCTTATTTAGTCTTGGTTTTGTTTGCTTGTTTTGTCTGTGTTTTTATTTTTTATGCGAAAAGGGTTTTACTACTGTTAAAATCTTTCCTCCAACGGCTAATCGTGAGGAAAAAATTATAGATTTTTAAAAGAAAGCTCGATCTCGTCATCAGTATGACTTCTTAACTCTCTACCGTGTAAATGACTGTAAGTATGAAAATCATCGATGTTAACTACGGACAAAGAAACGAATATGAAAGCGATCTTCGCAGTAACACTGTTAGCTCAGTTGGTACGGCACTGCACCGGTATCACAGAGGAAATAGGTTCAAATTCCTACTGGTTGAAGAGCTTCAGCGGTGTTTATTACTGCGAAGAGCGCTTTCATATTCGTCTCCACTGTATGCCACAGACCCTCTGATTTAGACACCACAAATTAAAAGTTTAAGAACTATGAATGAATTACGAACATTCATAACTAAAAAAAAAAATATCGTGTTCACCATGACGTCTTTACTCTCCACCTCGTGCCATGAACTCTCTGCTTTAAAACAACCCAAAATTTAATGCTCATGGTGAAAACAAATTTTCAATCCTTACCAGAATTCATCAACGTCTTTTTGTTTTTGTTGCTGTTGCTGTTTTTCCAGTCTAATACTAAAATTCTTCCTTTATTATCAAAGTCGTGCTTACCAATATTTCACTTATCGTCAATGAATGGCAGCATGTTAACTTCAGGAAGGCAATGACAGGTTATTCGACCAAACAGCTGATCTTGAGTGCAAGTCCCTCCATGCTTACACGGATTCCTGTTACACGTTGGTAGGAGGACGAAAAGCATCTACATGGAAGAAAAAATGAAATTTCCGTTTGCTTCTAACCGGAGAATTTCACAAGACATACGTGATGCATGTGTATTTTCACTGTGAATCGTCTCTCTGAAATCTGCCAAAAGCTTTTGATTTGATGGAATAATGCGTTATTGTAAGTAGTGTTTGCATTGCACTCTTTGATGTGCACTTTTTCCTTCACAATGAGCTTGAAAGAATGAATACTTTGACAAGCGGATGCAAATGAAAAATATGCTCATAGGGGAGCAGCAATTCATCTATTTGCAATTGACATTGAAAAGGTTTCCTCTTGAGGCAGCAAAACACTGGGTATGTTATTTTCAACATAGCTACTGACAATGCTTGAAAGGACAGGCTAAACATTTAAAGAAATGCAACATATTAGATGCAAAGATAAAGAAATAAGTAATTAAGAAAGGATTAATCATAACCACTACAAACTCCTCAATTCCTATTGGGGCATTCGCAGCTTCATTTTTCACTAATCATTCTGTAAAGTTGAAATCGGACAGTGTAATTGGACAGTTGGCTGTAATCGGACACCTGTAATCGGACAGTTTAAGCATTTAACAGATGATTACAGAAGGTTGAAATGATCCCCCAAGTGAACTGCAATAGAAGAAGTTTGCAGTGAGACTTTGATCCCTTAATGACCAATCCGTTGAAAGAACATTTTCCCCCAATCCATCCACGCGGACGTCTGAGTCTCAATATGTCAATAGTGTATTACTAGTCTAATCATCTAAATGCTCCTTTTCATTTCAGTTTCTTTTCAGTTTATTTCTATGTAAAAATGAAATGATATTTTATGATATAATTAGAAATTATATTTTTCTTTTGACCGCTCAAATATGCAAGTTTTCACCCTGAATATTACCAAAGTTGTGTGACCTCATGTGACGAATTTACTTGACCTCCGGTATTTCTGACGGCATAATCCTTTGTTTTATCATTTAATTTTAATCCCCTGTCATTATTGAAGCTGGCAAAGAAATATTTATTTTTTGGTGAATATTTTTGTCCGACATATTTTTTCTATGTCGAAAAGTAACATCAAAACAAAGACAGTTTTAACAATGACCGATATGACAGAATCTACTGAGCTTCTAGCTTTGAAATGGCAAAAGGATGGTTATAAAGTTACTGTAAAAAATTCGTTGTGCATTTGTATTGTTCTATCGTGAGACGAACTCAAAGTCCGGCAAAATTTACTTGCTAGCGACTATCAAATATACATGGTGTGCTTACTTGCCGTCACCGTTTACTGGCATAAGTCACTACAGTTCGTTAAGAAATCTAACATGACACTCTTACCTTGTTTATTTATGATTTTATAAGCTGCTTCAATGATCAAGTTATGCTCTACCACATTTTAGCCGGATTATAAATCTTCTCCACATTATTATATTAGTTACATGACAAGCGTGACACATATAAATTCAAAGATGAATCGACCTCCGAATTACCAAGAGATGGGTTTTTTTCCCTCTTCTCATATCCATAAAAACCTTCCAAGAAGTACTGTATTCAGAAAACTAAAATGTCCAGATCCATCAATGATTCCTTTGCCGGCGGAAGTCAAAGAATGTTTGCAAAAGTCAATTCGATTGACAAGCTACATACCTATTTAGCTAATTGATCTGTTGTATAAGCGTTTCTTCTTACATGCTAACAAGGAGATTTGCTGTTCATTTAAATCGTTCGCTGGTGGAACTTTTGGCTATGGTTATTGAGAAGACCGACGTTTCATATCTCAGGTCGTTCCTTTGCGTAGTTGTAAAAAAGACATTTCAAGTTACTTGCGGAGATCCAGAAACTGAAGTTGATCTTATTTTGTCGCGAGCCGGCATCTTCGATACGCCAAAAGATATCGATGGTTTTACAATTTGCCCCACCCATAGATCAAATCTCAGTACCGGTGTTGGGTGGATTCGTGGCTCCATTAGTAGATGTAGAGTGCCTAAAGAAGGGTACGGCCATGGTAAAGGTAGGGTTGAGTCGATTCCAAAAGCCTATTGGAGATTTGGCAAGCGTGTACTACAGATAGTACGCAAGACGTCTGGAAAATTCATACAACCTGGCTATTTACCACCTTGTACAAAATTACGCGTCCCGTCAGACTTAGGCCTCGATTGGGAATTGGTCAATAGGCTACCAAAAATCCAGACAGAGGCAGAGTTTTCTGCATTAATGTCTAAGCACTTTGTAGGCTTCCGCCGTCTGGCGGGACGCGAAATTAAGCACACAGTGGTAAAGATTCCTTCTGTAGTGGCTACAAGACGCTGACCAAAACTTTTTTCTTGCATTAATGTCTAAGCACTTTGTAGGCTTCCGCCGTCTGGCGGGACGCGAAATTAAGCACACAGTGGTAAAGATTCCTTCTGTAGTGGCTACAAGACGCTGACCAAAACTTTTTTCTCTTCACCGAAAATCACATAAAAATTTGTCCTTGCTAAATTTCAAGTGTGCTGCTCGTATCAGCACCCCCCGGGGAACCCCTATACATAAGAGGGCGAGGATGCACGCCGGGAATTTTGAAAACGACCCCTATAAAATGATAAAAGGTACCCGGAGTCTTATCCGTGTGGGAGTGGCAACAACTGATATCTACCCCTAATAAGTACTAGTTTGAGACACCGTAAAAGCTACCAGATCACTGATTTTGACCCCTGAAAGGTACGACAAGCATCCTCACCCATTTCCGATCGTTACATGAGGTCACACAACTCGGGTAATATTCAGGGTTAAAACTTTCATATTTGAGCGGTCGAACGAAAAAACTCATTTCTCAAAAACTAAAGTATATTTTCACAACAAAAGGCTACACCACAATTGTTAGGACATATTGAGCTACAAAATATGAAAGTCGGAGAAAAAACGAATTTGGGCGACTTGCCGCTGTTTGTCTGATGCATGTTGACATTAGCTCTTAATTGTACCTGGAGAGTAATGAACTATGAATCGTCGACTGAAGTAAAAGACTTAAAACAATTCTTTTATGATGAAGACATTGAATTTCTTTCTTAATATATCTATTCTGTTTCTACCATTCGTGATGTGCGCCTCTTTTGGAAGGTTGCGTGCGGATGTAGCACAGTTGGTTTTCAATTATTTTTCTTTCCAAATTAAAAACAAAGTACAAAATTAGCGGATTCCTCTTATAACTGTTCGATGCTTTTTGGAAAACAAGTTCCCTGAGAGCGAAGGACAGGTGCAATCGATATCTATGCTTGACTAAATAAAAACAGTTAAGAATCAAAACTTGTTCTGTTTCGTAAATGTACCTGCAGCAATACACAGTAGATAACTAGGGACATAAAATGAGATGTTTTTCTTACGATGGGCAATAAAACTACACATTTTACATTTCTGTTCGAGATGCACAGCTGATTTTCAATAATTTTTCTTTCCAATAAAAATGAGACGTTATTCTTACGATGGGCAATAAAACTACACATTATACATTTCTGTTTGAGGTGCGCGGCTGATTTTCAATTATTTTTCTTTCCAACTTAATTACGGAGCACGAAATTAGCCGATGCCTCTTTGCCCGTTGGAAATTAAATTCTCTGTGAGACGAGACAGGTGCAATCGATATGATTGACTAAGTAAAACTATTAAAGAAACGAAAACCTCTTCTCTTTCGTAAACTTACTTGCAGCAATACACAGCAGATTACTAGGGGCATAAAAATGAGATGTTATTCTTACGATGGGCAATAAAACTAGACATTTTACATTTCTGTTCGAGGTGCCTACCTACTCAACTCAATACCTTTGCATATTTACCAAAGACTGACCGTTGGAGCTAATCTAACTCCCGCTGCTTCGGAAACATTAAGCTATTAATGTCTTTCATTGACACAAAGGTGGAAAGTCTAATTACATCGAGGAAGTTAGGCTCGTTTAAAACAGGTATTACTGTCTTAAGCTACGAAATATTATCATAGTCCAGATGCATTTTGGATATAAAATCGTCGTTTTACCCAATTTTCTTCTCGGAATATTCCCATTCCTGAGTCTTGGTCAGCATTCAATTAAGCAAGGCAGACAATTTTACAAACTGGTGGACAGTTATCTGGTGGGAAACACAACATCGACAAGACATGTAGAGGACTATTTTGACTGTTCCTTCCTCTGTCTGGAGCACGAACCATTCGCTTGCTTGTCGTTCAATATAGCTCGGAATAGTGACAACGGCTATCATACCTGCGAATTAAGCAGTTCAGAGAGATACCTTGAGCCGCAAAGGATAGAAGAAAGGCTCGGCTCTGATTATTATGGCACAACTACTGAAGTATGTAATACGTCTTACTTGTTTGTAGTCCTGGGTTTATTAGTCTGTCACAACATTAACTGTGATCAATAGGTTTATAACCGCTTTTTCTTTAATGCAAGCATCAGATAAAGTAAAAAAAGGGGAATTTTGTATTTCAATAATATGTTTTCGAAGTACAGTAACACCTGTACTGAGCAAACCTCAAATTGAACGGACCCCCAGAGCTTTTGCATCACACGGGCGTTAGACGAACTAAAAAAGAAAAACAGAAGAAAGGCTCGGCTATGATTATTATGGTACAACTACTGAAGTATGTGATACGTTTTAATTGTTTGTAGTTCTAGGTGAAATGGTCTGTTATAGCTCTAACCACGATCAAGCAGTTGACGATCACTTTTTTACTTTTCTGGAGTCATCTGATAAAGATAAAATAATTTAAATATTGTATTTCAGTTATATATTTTCGAAGTACAGTAACACCTGCACTGAGCAAACCTCAAATTGCATGAACCTCCAGAGCCTATGTATCACGCGAGCGCTGCACAAAGCGTCGTCTTCCATGTAAACAAAATAAAAAAGTGCGGATTCGGACTAAAAAAATTATACTTATAATTATAGTTACAAGACGAACTGAGGAAAGAAAATGAACTTCACAAACAAGGAACTTAATCAGGGTCTATAATGAAAGATTTGAGTTTCATTTCCAATCGATTTCTCACGCTTCGGTCTGTTGAGTAGACAGGATTTTTCGCCATGAGCTCAAAAGCGCGATGCGAAATCTTCCTTTTTTTCTATGACTTCTCTATTATGTTCAAAAACACGGAGAGTTCTAGGGTACTTTTGTAATAATAGGAAATATATTAGTCTCTTTTCAGGATATCTCCATGTTCTAGTAATCCGTGTATTAATGGAGGGACGTGCACCCAAGGCAAGCGGTCTGGTGAATTTTCCTGCCAGTGCCTTCCAGAAGTTACCGTGCTTCCGTTTACTGACAACAATTGTAATATTGGTAAGAGGTTTGAAGTTGTGGATTAGAACAAAAAGAAACCACCGAAATTGAGACTTATTTGCTGGGATTACCAAGTTTGGTTCCTATGGGGATTCTATAACTTAATATCGTCGAAAACCCCTTTGATTTTCGAATATGACCTTTTTTCCATTGTTTGCTCGTTGCATTACGCTACGTAATAATTTTTTGAACGCTTTCCCTTGTAAAATCCCATAACTATGAGACATATACCGAAAACGCCGCATGATTTTTATTTTCTTCTGTTTTCTATATCGTATTCAAAGATACGAAGAAGATGGTTCGTTACAAATCTGTGGAAGGAGTGTTTCATACTAAAACAGGCAGGTATAAGCTAAACTATGAAAATGCCAAACGTTTATGTGCACTTCAAGGAGCACAATTGGCCACATACAGCCAACTACACAAGGCCTGGAAAGCTGGTGCTGAAACATGCGAGTAAGTAAATGTTTACTTTTTTTCTTCCCCCTTTACTTCGTCTTTGTAACGGCCCATTCTTCTCCATCCCTTAAGGAAATGCCGATGGGAATTTTCTCAAGTTGTGAGCAAAACTTCTGTAGCAAAATCTTTATCTATAGGTATTATACTAACAGTTTATTTTGGTAGCCGAAAGTAGAGCATGCAGAAAATTGATAAGGTGCTTATAAAACTTATGCTCTGTCCTCTGGGAATGGGAACCCAATAAGACTAAGTCTTCCTTATTCAAAGACACTGTAATGACTTGTTAATGCACCTCTCTGCAGAGGACACTTTTGTTAGATGGTTTTTTATTTGATAATTAATTTGTTTGAAATTCAGGTTTGGATGGTTAATTGATGTCACCGCTCGCTTCCCAATGCAGACGAAAAGGGTACCTTGTGGAAATAGGGTTGGCATCATTGGCTCTTCTTTACCAAAATCCAAAAGCCACACTTATAACGCTTGGTGTTTCAAATAAGAGTGTCGCGAAAAGAACAATTTTAGGAGAGATAGGTAACCAAGGCAACATCGCCACACGCTAAACCATGACGCGCGGCTAACAAACAGCTGCTTGTCTGGTTGACGGAAAACTTAAAAAAAAAAAAAATAGAGCGAAACATTATTTGCGTAAAGAATTCTTATTTCCTTGGTTTGTATCTTCTTGAGCAGCACTGTCTGACGAGCGCTTAGTCAGAAAGTTCTGTCTGACGAGCGCTTAGGCGCGAAACTCAGAGTAACATAGAATCGATGCGTCCTCTTTGATTCTTTCAACTATACATACTCAGCTCTGCCACTACAGCATTGAGCACTTTATGCCAAGGTAGACTCTACCCCCACATTTATATATATATATATATATATACATCTGAAAGTAAGATAAATCAATGAGACATAACTTTTCTGTGACTCTGATATATATATATATATATATATGAATCTGGGAGTAGAGTCTACCTTGGCATAAAGTGCCTAATGCTGTCGTAGCAGAGCTAAGTATACATAAGTTAAAGAATTAAAGAGGACGCATCGATTCTCTGTGACTCTTAGTTTCGCGCCTGAGCGCTCGTCAGACAAAGTTCGTCAGACAAAGTTCTGTCTGACGAGCGCTTAGGCGCGAAACTCAGAGTCACAGAGAATCGATGCATCCTCTTTAATTCTTTAACTTATGTATGCATATATAAAGACTCACTTATGTAGTAGTAGTAGTAGTTGTCGT